AGAGGTGTTTTGCTTGCATCACATAGGATTTTATTTTAATGTATGAGTCAATATTTTAAAAAGATTTTTAAAAAATCATGTTTACAACATTCAGATTTTGAACTTCTCTTAAATGAAACAGAAAAGGAAGGTTTTTGGCAGCCATGGGCTCACATTCCCATGTGGCTACAATCTGCTGAAGCTGCGTGTCAGCTGCCCCCTTAGAGGAGTATGGTCGCTGGTCCACAGTACCTACCAGCCCACCTCACTCCTGTACTTACCTGCCCTAGCCCTGTAGGCATGCAACCCGAGAGCCCTACTTTAGAGCACCTGGACCGACTAAGTGTAAGAATTAAGGGGAAAAAAAAAACATATAGAGAAGACACAGCTTATATCACTTGGGAAAAATTTCAATGAACTAGATAGCAAAAAATAGTGATTCTCAATGTATGTGACAGTACTTTGGGACACCAGATACCAACTGGCTTGTGACAGAGAGAAATCTAAAGGTGATGTATACCTCACCGGAGTAGTGTGCATTGTACCTGATAGGGCACTAAAGGCTCTGACTTCAGCATTGTTCAATTCTATCCATGTTACAAAAACACTTGTACCCTCTTAATATTTTGAAATTAAAAAAAAATTAAAAAGAAAAAGACAACAGGCAGCTCTACATGGGAAGGATGTGGAAATAAAAAGAAAAAAAAAAGTGATATAAATCCTTTAGCACAAATATCCAAATGAAGCACTTTTAGAATTCTGGCCCAAGGTTAAATTCTAGATGAATATTTCAAAAGAACTCTTTTGTGTGATGCCAATTAAAGAATAAATAGCTGGGAGTAAATAGGCTAAGATTACAGGTGGTTCACACCTGTAATCCTAGCACTGTAGGCAGCTGAAGCAGGAGGATTGCTGGAGGCCAGGAGTTCGAGACCAGCCTGAGCAAGAAGAGCAAGACTCCGTCTCTACACAAAAAATAGAAAAATTAGCTGGGTGTGGAGGCACAAACCTGTAGTCCCAGCTATGTGGAAGGCTGAGGCAGGAGGATTGCTCCAGCCCAGGAGTTTGAGGCTGCAGTGAGCTATGATGATGCCACTGCACTCTAGCCCAGGAGACAAGCAAGCAAGACCCTGTCTCAACAAACAAACAAACAGAATAAATAGCTCTTCAAATTCTTCTACCACTTCTGATGTTTATGCTGAGTTTATCCAGGAGAAAAAGAGAACACAGCTTTCTCAGTATGTATTCTTGCCAGTAATTTGATATTCCCTTTCTCTGTCAGTAACTATGGCTCATCTCATATTCAAAAGCCAAACCATAAACTTGAGCAGGGTCTAAATGAAAGGTGGTCTTCTCCAACGGTGCAAGTCATTCTCCTGTTCTCTATCAAGTTAGCTTTCAACAGTTTCTGATTTTTGCCCACCAAGTGGTGAGATAGGAAATTCAAAATTTTATTTCAACTAGCACCTTCTTTTAAAAGGGAGACTTCGTAAGCATCCTATGAAATAACTTTCAGACCCCGTCTTGAGCCCTCTCCTTCAAGCTTCATTCACATTCTCCCTAATGCACGATGGCATTCTTCTGTGAGCCACTTATTTTGTTGGATTTTGCAGACAGTGGGAGACAAAGGAAAATGCCAAGGACTTTGCTCAGGGTCACAGAAGAAAAGGCAAAATAAAGACTTGGGACTTCCTAAGACTTGGCCCAGGGTTTGGGAGTCAGGAAATACTGACCATTGCTGGTGTGCCAAAATTATTTGCGGCAGAATACAATATACGGTATAAATTTAAAAGGAGGCAGCAAGGAAAGCCAAAGCATACATGTTCCATGGGTAAAGAAAACGAAGTCCTACGGTCTCTAAGGACAGAGATGTAGGGAAGTGGGTGGGGTCCTATAGAGTCCAGTGGGCACATGGGAGACAGAAAAAAAGGAAGATGGTATCGCAATGGACAAGAGAAGAGGGAGCTGAGAATGAGAATGCAACCTGAGGAGGGGAAGAAACCACGCACTACACTGGGAGATTGGTCCGATCAAGGAAGCTGTTCATATACACACAGAAGACTTAGATATGTGCATGTTCAGAAAACGTTACCTAGTATAAAGTCACACATACACCACATCCTCATATAAGAAACAGAAACACAGGGAAGATCTATAAAACACAGGAGGAAATGTGCATAGATAAATCTCCTTCCTCGTCCCCTCACATGAGAAGGGGCTCACATGTACACAGAATAGGTGTGCGTGTGCACGAGAGGTGGCTCAGCAGAGGGGTTAGGAGCAGGGACTCTGCAGCTAGACTAGCCAACTGTCTGGGCTTGAATCCAGTTCTTGCCACTCACTATTTGGGTGACCTTGGGCAAGTTACTTAACCTCTCTGTGCTGATTTTCTCTCCTGTAAAATGGTAATAATACCACTACCTACCTCAGAATTGTTAGCTTAAATAAATTAAATAACATATTTAGAATAGTGTCTGGCACATAGCAAGTGCTCCCTAAGTTAAATAAAATGAATAACATGTGTATAAAGGAATACATAGGGGAGACATGCTCAAACTCTGAAACAGTCACTACAGAAAAACAAAGTATATTCTTCTGGCTACATACACGTGCATATTCTTGCAGAAAGAAAAACTGTAAAATCTGAGATGTTCTGAAGTTGAGATAAGCAGATGACTAACAAATCATCGATCTAGAGAAACACAAATCAGTGGTAAGTTAGCTGGAAAATAGTGGACTTAGGCAGGAGTATATAGAACACGAACTGCCTAAGAAGTCAAAAGGCTAGTTTTTATTTCAGACTCGCTACTGGGATCAGAAGGTGGGTCTACTGTGGAGCCTGGGGGTGAGGGTAGCAGTTGCTCGGGTCAGAGAGAGTCCAGTCCGTGAAGATTGACTGGGGTCCTCCGTTGTCGAATGAAGTAAGAGCATGTGGGATCAAGCTGCCTCCCTGCTTCCCCTATCTTATTTCTGCTTACCTCTCCTCTTACAATCTGGTTTCTGGTGCTAGCACTCTATGGCAAATCACCTTTCTAGGATTTTAATGACTTCCCAGTTTCCACAGCCAAGGAAGGACCATTTAACTCGAGGTTATTTCGGCAGCATCTGAGACCACTGACAAGCCTGTGTTTTTGGGAACCTCCTTTGTGCCTTGGCTTCCACTCCGTTCTCCTCTTACCTTCCTAATTTACTCTGCAGCCACTTTTATAACTCTTACCAATTCTTTTCAATTCTATCTCAGAAATTTCTTGGAAGCTACACTCTGTCTTCATGCTCACTACTACTACCTTAGTTCAGGCTTTTGTCATCTCGCCTGCGTTCCTGAAACAGTCACACTGCTGGTCTCCCTGCCCCCGTCCCTGCATTCCCATCCATCCTCCATGCCGCTTCCAGAGTTACTTTTCCCAAAACAAAGTTAAGTCATTCTCCTCCTTATTCACACTCAACAATAAAATATTCAAGATTCACACTGTTTTCATGATCTTGCTCCAACTTAGCCCTTTACCTGCATCTTTTACCTCTCTGCTCTTCCCATCCTAATCCACACTGAACTTCTCATTGTTCCATGAATATACTATGTCCCATGGCGCTGTGTCTGGATCCCTCTTCCCGACCTTTTCTATCTGGAAAAGTTCTTTTCTTCCTCCAAGACCCACCATAATTATCATCTCCTAAGGACTGTTCTTCTCAGCTTCCCTAAGCAGAGACAGGTCTTCATTTTTCTGAGTGCCTATAGCTCTGTGGTCAAACATCTCTTATAAGACATGCCATTGAAGACTGTAATTGACCTGTTGAATTGTCTGATTTTCCATTAAACTTTGAGCACCTCAAAGACAGAGCTAGTTGTTATGAAAAATTCCCATACCCAGTACAGTACCTGGCACATAGTTGCCTCTCAGAAAATGTTGGTTGAATCAAATGTAAACCTTTCATATATTAAGGAAAAGACAATCTTTAGTATAACCAAATCAATGTTTAAGCATAAAATGAGAAATCAAATGAGACTGTTTTGCAAAGCGTATGGCTCTATAGTCTCTGGGAAGAGAGACGGCTGCTCCTCACCTCTGTATGTCCTTATTCTTCCACAAGGAGGCAGACTGAGCCTTTGGCACTCTTTCGATGAAATTCACCAGTTCTTCCATGAGAAGCCTGAGTTTCAGCAAAAAAGTGATGAACAGCCATTAGAAAATTAGAAAAATACCACACTCTTAACACTGTAGCCAGGAGAAATGACTTGCTTGCCTGCCCCTCCTCCACTTCATCATCTTTCTTTCTGCTGCATATAAACTTGGGCACCATTTTACAGAAAGTTAAACAAAAATCTAGCCTTCTCATTGAATTTCCATGCTAAAAATTCTGAACTTAAATGATTTAATTCACATTTAAAACAAGCCTGGCAGGTTTCTTGTCTCTGAACTCTGAAATATATTAATATAAGCCTATTTTAACTCTTACTCTAAGATTTCTGCCTTTCTTTATGTTTCTAAAAATACAAAATGAGAAGTTGTTAAGTGACTACGAAGTACCTACTTTTGGTGGCAGCAGGATGGGGGTGTAATTTTTTTTTTTAAATAACACTATTTAATGGACATTTTAAACTGATAAAATAAATTTTCTTGCATGTGTTTTAGGAATTAGCAAAATTCCATGTGGAAGAATACTCCCAGGACTAATCTCAAAAATTTAACAAAAGGACCTGCAAAAGGACAGAACTCTCTGAGATCATGAGATGGAATACCACAGAACTGCAGTCGAGGGAATGTAAGAAATGACACCCTCGACTGCATGAAGGGTCCACATGCTCTGGGGATCCATGTTGGAATTCCTGATGGCTAGAGGATGACCCACAAATCCAGAAATAGATTTTCAACATTTTGAATCTCTTTGCATAATCTAGTATAGATGATCCATATTGACTTAAGTCCCCTCCAAGTCAATATACAGATAATGGTAAGCCATAAATTTATTAGCATTTGAAAGCTGAACGACTTCATTTCACTTCCATTTATTTATTTAGCACTAATAATCTCCTCTTTCCATCTTGAAGGAGCAGTACTAGTTCCCAAATCCCAAGATCTGGGATCCAGGCTCATTATCGTTCTGGCTATAGCTTTTATGAGGACTGTATGGTGTGGCAATCCTCATCCTTTAACTTTTTCAGGCTCGAGTCTAATGTTTTAGCTCATCGTTTCATTGAAAACAATCCATCACTTTGAGTGTTTTACTTTCCTATAATGACCTTCCCTCAGATCCCTTACGGTTTTCAGCACACAATACAGGTAATATGGTTTGACATAAAAACAAGAAAATACTGTTTCATTTCTAGTAATTCCATCTTGTTGAACATCTGCAAGACAACAGAATCCAACCTAGGAGTCTATATCAACTCCTAGATCTTATATTTTGGGTTCTGACACTTGAACTTATACCATACTTGTTAATTTATTTCAATACAATAAGTTAATAATTTTTTTCCTGGGCAATTTTTTTCACATTTTTTTTTTTGTTAAAGAGGTGGGGTCTTGCTCTGTCACCCAGGCATGATCATAGCTCACTGCAAGCAATCCTCCCACCTCAGCCTTCTGACTAGCTGGGACTACAAGAGTGTGCCACCACGCCCAGCTAACTTCACATAATTTCTTTCTCACTAAATGATGCTATAGTTACTTTCAGCAACGACCTGTATCACAAAGGTTTGGTAGGGGCAGAGAAAGGGGCAGCAGAGGCTTCTCAGAGTCAAAGGCAGACTGTGCAGTTTTACTCCTTAGACTGCTGAGTTTCACTCAACAGCAGGGACAACTGAACCATCTAATTACTTATCTATCCCCTGTTTTCTATAAGCTGTCTCCATTTACAGTCTGCAGTAAACCATAAAAGGGGAGAAATTTTGAAAGCAAAGCAATAAAATTTCCTCTTCTTAAAGACGCTACATTCCTTTCCTCTGAAGCTCTTTGCCTTGCATCTTTGTGGCAACATTCTAAACACTACCTCCATGAACTGGAGGAGCTGTCTCCACCTCCCCTACTTAGTATTATCTGTACAGAGGAGCTGTCTCCATGAACTCCTCCCAGTTTATCTATACAAAAAGACTAAAAAGACTACTCGCCGCAGCAATCTCTAGGCATTTCCAATGAACATTCCTTTATTTAGAGAGTCACCTACTCCTGCCTATTCTTTGGGTTTAGCTGTTCAGGAGGAAACAACATTCACTCCTGGCATAGTACTCTATTAAACAGTCATCACCAGAGGCGGCGCTCTACAGCCACATCTTAACAGGACAAGAATAAAGACTCTCACCTGCCAATCTGCACAGTGGGTTCTGTGGCATACACTGTGCCTGTGAATCCAGTGTGCTCGGTGATGTAGGGCAGCGCCATCATGCAGTGATAGTTAGAGATGAGAATCACATCCACTGTAGACAGATCTATTAGCTCAGTCTGAAAAGAAAGGGAGGGAATGGTACATATCTGTTCAGGGATAGATCAATATAATGTGACTAAAAATGATGTTGTCAGAATGCAGAGTAGTAGTTTTTGTACTGCAGAATAATGATGCCTTTCCTGCAACACTTCCATTCTCTCGTTTAGGATGTTTTCTAATATTGACATTAAGTGGCAGGACAGGATGGCTAATAATGAGAATGTAGCCAGTCCATCAGCAGCACTCTGATTTTACTAGAACAGAATTCTTCTCAATTAGATATACGAGGATAAATGACAACAGGACACTTCAACAGCTGCTGCCTGGCACGTGAAGCCAGGTAACCTGAAGCAGAGAGAGCACAACGTAAGTTATAAGGACATACTAGAACGTGACGCAACACTGCTACAGATTGAAGGGAAACGGGAAATAGCGTGCAGAAACCAGCTCTTCACAAGTCAAATGTGGAGACTGGTTTTTTTTTGAGGTAACTTTTGACCACTACTGTTGGATATGGAGCCAAAAAAAGTACAGTGGCAGAGTCATGAAAGGAAATTAGACTCTCATCTTCTATCCTAATCTTAGCCCCAAATCTGCCCTTTTAGTCCACTATTAAGGTCAGATGAAAAGAGAAAAGACAGGTTAGCAAGTGAGGGAAAATACTATCCAAGTTTGATAAATTTTACTATAACTCTTTAGTAGAGGAAAATTTTTTCCCATACATTTAAGTCCTACCTGTCTGTTAAGGATCAACTCTCTTCTTCCACTAAGTCTTCCTGATTTTACCAGATGAAAGAAATCACTTCCTCTTCAGAGCTCCCAAAGAACTTTGTGTGTGTCCCTCTTCTGACAGCACTCTATACAACACCACCTCGAAGTAGCACTTTGTCCTGTGTGACTCTTCTCTGGCTCCCTCCCACCCGCGGTGGCCCGGTACACACCTCAGTGAGCTTTTGTTGAAGAAAGGCAGCTTTATAAGCAGCATCTTCCAGAGGAAAAGTGAGATACTGTGGTTCAGAGACATCCTACCACTCACTGAGCCTCCCTCGTGGAGGAGTTAGCCCTGGGAAACTGTACAGTGCACTAAGGACAGGGAAGGAAGTGTTCCAGTCAGGAGATGGGTCACTGAGCTAATCTGTTCCCACAGAGAAGTAACGAAGATGTCTGTGGCATAAGCAGATGATGAGGGGCAGTGTGCCATTTTGGCTGTGGGTATTTTCTGGCTGGATGACTTTACGTATAAAATAAGCTAATTTAATAAAGCTGCCAAGGCATCATCAGCTCCTGAGGACAGCATGCGAGTGGAGGTCACAAGCTACCCACAGCTAGGGCAATGCCATCTATGTGAATAACATGCCTAATGACAGTAAGAGTCAATCTACCCCACCCCTAACTCCCATGTCGTGCACTGCGCTTGCAAGACGATATCCCCGTGATGAAGGATCATATAACATTCTGCGGGTCCTACTCTCTGCTACCACTCCAGAATCATTTTTAAACAAATAAGGAAATTAAGACAGAGTAGCAGAATGACAGATCCACAAGAAAACAATGGGAATGACAGTTGAAACAACAATAAAGCTCAAAAGCATCACCATCTTCCCTCATGCGTACAGAAACCAGTCGAGAAAACTTGAAATTTCTCTTAAATATATAAGAATCAGCCCAGGGTCTAGAATTATGAGAAATAAAAAAA